CAGGAGGATAAAGGGTGCACAGACCCTGGTCAACTTGGGCATATCCCGCGGGTAACATCCGCCCATCACTGAGGGGCCGGGGATGGGTGGTCCAGGATATAGTCTAGTGTAAGTTAGGATACCTGGATATCAAAAAAAAAAAAAAAATATGTTCCATTGTTTCCACTTGTTGTTCCTACAATTCTCTCTATTGATTAAGCATTAGTATTAGGATAATATACATTAATTTATGTTCCTTTATTTCATTTCTCTTTCATAAAGTACCAACTTCTCCAATTTTAACAAATAATGTTTCCAAAAAAAAAAATTCGAGGGCTCTGCCCCCGAACCCCCATGGGCCCTCACCCTTTCAATTCTGGGACCCTACTTCGACAGGCTGGCTCCGCCCCTATTCCCGTTTGATAGTCTTTTTTGGAAAGAATAAGTTTTTGAATAATAATATTTTGGAGAATTCGTTGTTATAAAGTGAGAAAAATTTTGGATTTACATGAAAAATATTTTATTGTAAGAATATAGATTAAAAAAATAAGTATTAAAAAAAAAAAGAATTTCGAACTAATGGTTACCAAACATAGGGCGCATTTACTTTAAACTTTAATGGGAGAAAAATTCAATGGGTGGGTTTGTGTGAACATTCAAACGTTAAACGTGAATCATCATTACTCGCCCACCGTTTCGGCTTCCAAGCCGACTTTTGACTGCAATGTTGTCGGCTTAGGTAAATATAGCACAAGACCGGGTCAACGCACTAATATCACTGTCACACTAATGAAAATGTGGGAACAAATAAACCAGTGCGCTATCAGATTTTTAATTTTTTTTTAAAGAATGAAAATTTTATTTTCTTAGCCGTCCGCACTATAATTTAATACATTTTTCTCTCTCTTTATTTTAACCACGCATCTTTCAATAAAAAAAATTCCATTTAATCAGGGATGGAACCTAAAATTGACGTTAAAATGAGTTCAGATTTTAAAATTCCAACTGAACTCACGATACAAGAAATCGAATTTAAAAGGTTAAGCTCATGACATTCACAGTGAGACACTCGTTGAAGTAAAAGTTTAGACATCCATCCTAAGATATCTCACCAGATATTTGTAGTGTTCCACGTTAAATAGAAAATTGCTTGCTTAGAGAATATAGATTGGTAGGAGCAAGATGAATTTAAGCAAATGATACACATCCACCCATAAAAGAACTTAGAAAATACCTAATGCATTTTGTTCCAAAGAAACAACCCGTCTTTCCAAATAATTGAAAATTTTAGTCGGGACATGCAATCAAAAATGAATTACTATACATTAATATTCTCAGAAATACTATGTAATATAGACATCAGTCTTCTATACCACCACATTCCACATTGAATGAGGAATCCCACTCAAAGTGAGGAAATCCACCAGCAATTCTGAGGGTCCAAAGAAATTGAACTTAATTGAAGGCCATGTTTGGCTCAACTTCAAGAATATATTTATTATCAGATTAATCTATAAATAAATAAGTTTTAAACAATATTTTTTTTATTGACAAGATAAAAAATAATGTAAATTACTTATTTTTGATAATATCATATATTTATGGTCAAAATAAGTAATAAGTACGAAGACGAAATATACGAAACATACATAGAAAAAACATTAATTACATTTTTAAGCTTAGTCAGACATGTAGTGTCACAATTAACTTATTCTTAACTCTAGTCAATACAAATTATTTACTATACAATTATAAGTAAACTTAGTCAAATTTGTATTAAATAAAATACCTAATTGAATAACAAGTTATTCACATTGCATAAATGTCACAAAAAGAATTTTTAATAATTGTAGTTTCTAAATT